ACCGGCGGAGAAACTTCATCGACAAAATCACAGTGCGAGGAATCAATTACGAGGGTCAAGCAACACTAGCCGATGCTAATGTCAATTACTATGTCTCTCTTTATACGGAAGAGAGTGTCAACAGACCATTCCCCTACTCATTGCATTACAATCATATTTCCACCATTGAAGCTGACACACTAGAGCAAGATATCACTGAGGAAGAGATATGGAAGGCTCTAAAAAGCTGTGACAGAGATAAATTGTAACACCCCACCCTAAAACTCATGGGTTGAACCAATGGTTCACCCGCACAACGGAATCTCTATCGGGGTTACGCAAAACTCAACTTTTTACCACTGATAATATACATGCCTACATTAATTTAATCCAAAATCACAACAATCAATTCTCAAATTACTCATCATATACTATACATCAACTCGATCTAGTTCATTTATTTTATGTAAACCAAATCAGAGTGTCATTCACTACTATGCTCATTACGGAACCATCTACTATGCAATACCCAAATCATCGACTCATAAAACATAAACGAGAGTCAATTCAAAATCTGGGAAAAGTTCAAAACCAATCCTCCATCAATCATTGTGCAGTGCCAGAGTTTCTCTCAATTCATTCAAACCTGTAAGAAACTGAACAGAAGTGGGTCAGCAACTAAGCTGTGTGTGTGGATCTTTCCCACGACCTAATTTTGGGACCGCAATCAGTTAATCAAACAATCATAATCAATCATAAATTATTACTCTAGATGCCATCTTAAATCATCATATATAAATTACCGATCAAATTATCGAATCCACCAACTAATCATCACCAAATCAATTTATCCAATAAGATAATCACTTAATTTCACGAACACATAATCAATGCATGATGTGAAAATTCCGGTTAATTATTAATGGCGCCAAGGTCACCATACACTTACCCCCGCTCGAGCAAATCATCATCCGTGGTGCTCATGCAACCACAACACTCGCAGAAGCGAGCTAAGTCTACCCAATCCCATAATCATCTGGGGGTGAAAGTGCAGGCCCTTTCTACGTCTATGTGAATTAATATGATCACGAATCAAACAATTCCATTTCTCTCGTCCATCACACACGATCCGGAATCAATGCAGTCCCACTGATTAACCGGTCCATGCATAATCGATCCAGAATCAGTGCAGTCCCACTGATTAACTGGTCCATGCATATCTCACGTCAAACATTTCATCAAACCAATTCAGGAATCAATGCATTCCCATTGAGTTCCCAATCCAAATGGATCTCATGTTTCTCATCTCATCAACTCATCATCATCTCAATCAATCCAGGAATCAATGTCATCCCACTGATTCCCAATCCATACTTATCTCATGTCGGTTTTCAACTCGACATTCTCGAAATCCAATCCGTCATACAATCTCGAATCACATAAATTATCATCATCCTTCAGTAACAATACTCAATAGTTCTAGATCATAATTCCTCATCCAAAATTCATCACACAACTTCATATAATAACCTCAGTTCAAAATAATCATGAATAACCGGTATGCGGTGAAAATACTTTTAATTCATTTTCCTTTGTTAAAATCCTCATAAAATCCATATAAATTATTTTATTGACACCAAAAACCATTTAATCCAGTTCTGATCATAAACAACCATTTAGAGAATAAAATCTCAAAATTTTTGTATTAACCATTATTTTACGATAATTTAAATTCTAACCAACCGGTAACTCCGAAAATCTCCAAAAAATACAAGAACCTTCATTTATCATCCTACAACAGGTCTGTCCAGTTTTTATATTTTTTTCAACAGCTCAAAACCATGAAAATAATATTACACGCGGTATTTATCGCAAATCTCGTATTAAGCTCATTTTTACCTTTTTAAAGATAAAAACTCCACCAACGGTCTAATTTACCCTTTACAGACCACAACCCATTTAATAATCCATACTGACCATTTTAAAGTGATCCAAATCTTAAAGATAAATAAAACACGTTTTTACCGAGCTTTTCGTAAAATTCACCGTTATGCAGTTTTTAATCCGCAAACCATTTTCAAGTAAAACCTTCTGCTCAATCTGCTCCAACACCATTATAGACAAACAAAAATCTCTTAGATCAGTTTTATACTCAATAAACCCAACTATTCATTTTTACGGGGAAACTCGTCAAATACCGATATTTACACCGTAAAATTCATAACAATCAAGAATAATCACCAAATCATCATATCAACAAATAATTCATCACCCACAGTAATCCATCCATCCAAATATGCAAATCAAGCATAAATAATTGATGCAATAATTAAGGTCCTCTTAATCCCCACACACCTTAATTTAGCTGATTCCAAGTCGGGAATTAAGTTCTAAAATTCCAGAGATTGGCTCCTAAAAATTCTCCTCGTTCCCACGGTCGTGTAGGCGCAAACGGTTCGTCGTTTGGACGTCAAACGAAGAAACTGCGAGCCGATTAAGATTAGTATGGAAAATTACCGAATAGTACCTTATATTTTCGAACTGTCAGACACAGCTCTGGAACTTAAAATCGTACAATTTTATGAACAAACTTTCGAACCTCGTTTCTCCCTCGTTTGAGCTCGGAATTCGATTCCGTCGACTCCGTGATGCTCCTGGAGACGAGCTCTACGCATCGGTACTAAATTTCGGAATTATCGTCGCAGTTGGCGATGCCGACGTAGACGTCGGGATTTACGACGAGCCTCCGATGAACCTCTTACAACGTTCAAAATCGATTTCTGACTTCATATATGAGTTTATAGGGGTCCTATTATCTAAACTCGACCCTTGGACGATTGTTTTTCCCCTTTCTTTCTCCCCTCTCGTTCTCCCGTTTCCGTTCGGTTGTGGAACATGTATACGAAGAAGAAGAAGATGGAGTTGAGTGGGGTTTTGTAACGATCAGTTCCAGCACCCTTTCCTCCCTCTTAACTCCCCAGACGTCAACCATTAATTCCCTTCTGAAGGCCGCCTTCAAATTTGCAGGTGCGTTGGAAGGAAGAAACCCCAATTCCAATGTTGGGCGCCGCTTGTAAGTCCATATCTGCAGCTTCACTTATATCCAAACGACAGCGTGTGATGTTGATGTTGGCTGGCCGCTTATAGCTGGCCGAGTTCAAATAATTAAATTTACGGCGATCTTATTAGAATAAGTCTGCTTGTAGCCTAGCGGCAAATTGATGGAGTTTCACCTAAACACACTAGGTAGTGGGTTCGATACTTGCTGCCTCATTATATTTTTTTCCCTTTTAAATCACATATATGTATATGATTATTATTTATCGACATATATATTTTCATGTCGATGAGGTAAATTTTACGACATAGAATTCTGTTTATAAATTTATGATTATCGAGAATAAATTTATTTTATTTATTTCGTTTGGTTTGGGATGTTACATAAATCGCCCGGACCAGACGGTTTTGCTATATCTTTTTACCTTCATTGTTGGTCTTTCTTGAAGGTTGAGTTACGGGCTGCTCTATTAGACTTTCAGGCTACAGCCAGACTGCCTACAACTATCAACAACAGCTTTGTTTCTCTCGTTCCCAAGAAAGATGTTGTAGAAGATATCAGAGACATGCGACCAATTAGTCGGGTGAGCAGCTTCTACAAAATTCTAGCTAAGATTCTTATGCGGAGGTTAAAGAATAATATGGGCAGGCTAATCTCTAAATCTCATATTGCATTTCTTCATGGGCGACAAATTTTAGATGCTTCACTAATAGCTAATGAGTTAATAGACTCCCACAATAGAAGTGGAAGAGCAGGAATTGTGTTAAAACTCGATATTGAGAAGGCTTTTGACCACGTAAATTGGAACTTTCTGTTTACATCGATGCAGCAGATGGGTTTTGGCACTCGTTGGATTTCATGGCTACGGTCATGTGTTACTACTCCTCATTTCTCGGTGCTAGTAAATGGCGAGGCTCAAGGTTATTTCAAGAACCAACGTGGCTTAAGACAAGGGGATCCTTTATCTCCCTTCCTATTCATTATAGTTATGGAATGTCTCTCTCTCATCTTGGACTCTATGAACCCAACATCAGAAAGTGGTCAAGTTACTCATCTTCTCTATGCAGACGACACATTTATTTTTTGTGACCCCAATACAGACCAAGTTCTGCACCTGAGAGCAGCACTTTTATGCTTTTAGGTAATTTCAGGACTTAAGATCAACCTATCCAAGTCCACACTTCTTCCAGTTGGCAATGTTGAGAATGTACAAGAGTTGGCAAGAGTATTTGGCTGCAAGATTGGTAGCCTTCCAACAATTTACTTGGGGCTCCCTTTGGGTGCCAACCCTAACTCTATCACCACATGGAAACCAGTTATTGATGCATTGACCAAACGTCTCTCTTCATGGAAAGGGCGATTCCTTTCATTCAGAGGAAGAATTGTCCTGATCAAGAGCACACTTGCAAGCATGTGCATCTATTATCTTTCTCTACTCCTAGCTCCTATACATATTATTGGAAGAATGGAAAAGATCATTAGAAGATTCATGTGGTCCGGTGCTGAAGAACATGACAAACCTCACCTTGTACGATGGGAGCTAACAAAGGCTACAAAGTCAAATGGCGGGCTGGGGCTAAAAGACCTCAAAACACTTAATGCAGCCCTTTTAGCAAAGTGGGTCTGGCGATTCCATAATAACCCAAATGATTGGTGGAGGTATCTTATTTGTTTCAAATTTGACTACCCCATCAATTGTTGGAATCTCTATACCTCACATATGCCTTATAGGAGATCAATTTGGAAGCTCATTGTAAGTAACAATGTTAATTTCTGGAATGTTACAGTGATTCGCCCAGGCGATGCATCGTCTATTTCTTTCTGGTTAGATAGATGGATTCCTAATCATACTCTCTCTCATAGCTTTCCAAACCTGTTCTCAGCAGCAAGGGCAGGGGCGGAGCTCGGATTTCAAGGTCGGGGGGGCCGAAATTAAAAAATAAAAATTAATGTATAAAAATAATTATTTGAAAAGTACACGACGTTCTTTGAGATCTACAAAATCACTCAATATATCATCTAATCTGAAATTCTTAGCTATCATTCGTTCAATGAAAATAACTAAGCTATCAGCAAGAAAATCATCATTCATTTTGTTTCGCAGTCTATTCTTCACTATCTTCATAGCTGAAAATGCACGTTCGCCTGTAGCAGTGGAAACTGGAAGAGTCAATAATAGACGAATCAGTCTATCAATAAGGCTGTATTCCTTTCCCAACCTTGTACTTGCTAACTCCTTACATAGATCAGCAATAGATGATAGCTTCTCCAAAGAAGGATAATTAGGAATATTAACCTGAAACATCTTCAACTGGAACTTCAATGTATCAATGTCATCATCTGAAAAATCAAGAGGATAATACTCTCTTGCAAGCTTGCAAATAGCATCAATGTCAAAGGTTTTAAATCCATCTCTAGGATTCAAACTTGAGCTAAGCTTCAACAACTCAACCACTCTATCATTGAATCTTGACCCCAATTCTGTCATCTGAACATCAATAGCAGCATTGAATACATCATAATGATAATGATGTTCATTTGTAACATCTCTCTTTCGAATAGATCGACCTCTGAAAAATGGAGCACTAAGATCAGGAACCTCAATATCATATTGCTTGCAAAACCCTACGACTTTTGCTAGCAAAGAATCCCACTCTTTATCCCTGAATTCATTCAAGAGCTTTTTTGTAGACTCCACCAGTATCATTGCATTGAAAATGTCTTGGGACTTCCGTTGCAAAGCTTGAGAAAGAATATCAGTGGTGCTCAGTATTTCCTTCATCAAAAACAAAATAAAGATGAAATCGAACGACTTCATTCTTTCCAAAGCACTAGTAGCATCCCACTTAGCATTGGAGCTACATCCATCTTTTGTTATGTTCTCCAAAACTTTACAAGTTGAACCATACAACTTGATAAGATTAGATATAGATCTTAGATGTGAACTCCAACGAGTATCACAAGGTCGTTGTAAAGTACTAACCTGATTAGCTCCTTTTCCTGTTTCAATTTCACCCGCCGCTAGCTGAATTGCAATCTTGGCTGCTTCTGCAGCTTCTAACTGGTCTTGCCGCTTACAAGAACCAGTAACTGCAGTTATAATAAATGATAAGTTCCTGAAAAACTCATGTACCCAATATACTTCCTTAGCAGCTGCAACCAATGATAACTGGAGACGATGAGCCATACAGTGTACATAATAGGCCTGAGGAGAGTCCTTCAAAAATAAAGCCTGCAGTCCATTCCACTCACCACGCATGTTACTAGCACCATCATATCCTTGTCCACGAAGATTTTGAATTGGGAACTTATAGAATGAAAGAATCGAGCGAATTGCAGTATACAATGTCTTCGATGTTGTATTTTCCACATGAACAATATCAAAAAAGCGCTCTTGTATCAACCCATTGGCATCAACAAAACGAAGAACAATAGCCATTTGCTCATGACTGCTTTCATCACTAGCCTCATCCACAATGATAGAATATTTATAATTTCCAACTTCTTCAAAGATGTGATTTCGTACCTTCTTAGCCAAAACATGCAAAATTTGCTTCTGAATCTCATGAGATATGTACTTCGCATAAGGTGGAGCTTTATCCAATGCCACACGACCTATTTCTTCATTGTGATCAGCTAGAAGTTGAAGAAACTCAATAAAGTTGCCACGATTACTTGACTCTTCAGTCTCATCGTGACCTCTAAAAGCGACTCCTTGCAGTGCCAACAAACGAGCAATAGTTATTGAAGCTTTCACACGGGTTATATTCTTCTGCACTTCTTCAGATGTTTGTCTCTCCATTGCTTTGTCGATGTGGCCAGATTGTTGTAGCAAAGCAGCACCCTTTCTCACGGCATTATTATGATGAGAATTCGGGCCATCCCCAATATGCTTACGAAAAGAACAAGCCAGTCCACCAACCTTTTTCCAATTTCGAAAACCTCCATGTGTAAATGCATCCCAACCAGATTTAGTGGTTGGCTTTTCAGCAAAGAGATAGCAATGAAGACAATAAGCAGCATCCTTTGTTTCTGAATATTCAATCCAATGAAATTGATCATACCATGAAGGCTGGAAGCTGCGAAAATGATCACCATACTGAGTTTGAGGAAAATTAGGAAGTCGAACTCGGTTAGGACCGCTTGTCAAATATGCCCGCCTTATCTCATCATGTTTGTCATGTGGATATGTCCAAATTGGCTTGCGTAAACCAGGATCACGTTCAACTATAGAGAAAGATGGATTGGTAACTGTTGAAGTGGGAGGAGGATCCTGAGTACCACTTGATGGATGTGAAATTTCTTCTTCCTCTTTGTCTTCTTCTCTCTCTAAAGGATCAATAGCTTGTACCGACACCTTTGGAAAGAATGAATCCATTGTTTTTTGTTTTTTCTTCATATTCACTAAAAGAAAAATATGAACGCACATAACATAAGAAAACTAATTATAGTATAATAAAATATTTTTGCTATAGTAAATAAACTTTTCGATTAATATCATACTATCAGTATCACCATTAGCATTGTGATTAAAAAAATAAATTTTGACGTGGGAATTATTCCCCCTTTGACTAATAATTATCTATCTCAAAACATCACCAAGTCCCAAAAGAAGACAAATTCCATCATTCTTTTCCTTCCTTTTTCATGGTTTGTGCGTGTAAAACAAACTAGCAAGGAAGGGATAAAATCATGGAAAGGTAGAAAGCCTAGGTTTTTGTGCAGGAAAGTTGGAACATAATGCAAAAAGGTAGCATGAAAAGGCACTCACCTGTTACTGGCCGATCGAATGAAACAGATATGCTAGGGTGAAAATTGAAAATCAAGCAGTAGGGGCGGGCAGTAGAGGGCTAGCGGCAACAGTAGTAGGGAGTAGAGGGCTAGCGGGCAGCGGCAACAGTTGTTCTCTGGGAATTGGGATTATCTAGGCTTTAGGGTTTCACTTTTTGATTTTTTTTTGCTATTAAAAGCAATGGGAGTTCCGAGAATTGTAAGGACTGACAGGAATTATTAAAAAATGAAAGTGGGATCGGAAATTATTAGCCATTCAGTGTATGTGTGGTTCGAACCCTGTACTTGGGGGTTGACAGATTAGTTACTCAACCAACACGCCACCTATAAATATTTGTTATAATGTTGTATGCGACCTAATTTTAGTATTTCGGTAAAAGTCCTAGGGGCTCCTAGTCCTATTCCAAAATTCTCGGGGGGGCCGGGGCCCCCCCGAAGGACACTGTAGCTCCGCCCCTGAGCAAGGGACAAGTATGCCTCACTTAGAGACATGTTCTCCATTGAAGAAGGCAGGATTCATTGTCTGGTTGACTTCTCTGTTACTTTCCGAGGTGCTGCCCAAGCTTCCTTTCAGACTTTCAGCATCCTATTGAGTAGCATTCCTATCTCATGGTTCTTAGGTAGTCAAGATAAACTACTTCCATTGCTGCCCGGGGGGGAATTTCAGGTGTGTAGATGCTACACCAAGCTTTCTAGTGATAAATTTAAAGGATTTGGATCATCCTTTCCTTCTACTTAAATCTGGATCTCTGCTGTCCCAAGGAAAATCTGTGCATTTTCTTGGCTGGTTTATCAAGAGAAAATCCGCACTCAAGACCAATTACAGAAAAGAGGTTGGCAAATACCCAACAGATGTTGCTTATGCAAGCAAGCAGCTGAAAGCATTGGTCATTTACTACTTCATTGCAACTTCTCAAGAAGTATATGAGACTATTTCTTCTTCAGACTCAACGCCAAAGGACCGATCCCATACAGCTATGGCAGTTTAGTGGAACAGTGGAGCCACTTCACCCGGGGAGTAACACATTTCCAATGTGTTAGATTACTGCCTCATGCCATCTTTTGGAACATTTGGTTAGAGAGAAACTCTAGAACTTTCAGAGATAAGTGATGTACATGGGACAAGATAATGCACAAAGTGGTGAACAATTGCATTAATTGGAGTCTTGCCAAGGCTCTTCTAGATCGCAAGAAGTACAGACACTCAATCAATTTTTGCTCAGTAGAGCAACCAACCCTTTTCATCCTCCATGATCATCCATCTTAATGTGTCTCACATCTCAACCTAAATCTTGTCTACATCTTTGTTGAAATTCTCTTTCAAGGTCGATGTAATAGGTACTTCGTATTATGTTGCAGCAACTGTGAAACAACTGTAACAGCTCGTAATTTGCGAGCTACCTTATTTTATTAATACACAAATCATTCATAAAAAAAAGCCGAGATGGATGTTTCTCGAACGTTTGTTATGCATACGAATGTCGTATTCGGGTACATATATATTGTTGTTAATGTTTCCATGCTTTATGGTGAAAAATGATGAGTTATAATTATTAATAATTTCATAAATATCCTAAAGTTTTCTAGGAAATGTCAATAATGATGATTGTATATTGTTAATAATACATGCATAAACGTTGATAATGTTATGTTCAATTGTTATCTATTATTTAAAAAATATTGATACTGATTGTTAACGTGATATAATTTACGTTAAAAATTGAAAAGATTTTGTTAATGATACTATGTAAATTTTTTGAAAACATTAAGTAATATTATTCAAAATTATCTTAAAACCAGTAATAATTTAACCGCAACGATTGTTAACAATTTATGACATTCGTTTGAACATGAAGACTTATCATTACTATTGATTTTGTAAACAACTAAAAAATTATTTAGGAAACAATGAACCTAAAAAATTCCATAATTTAATAGTTAGTCATTGTTAACCATGATGCCATAATTTTCTTAAACTTACATAAGAAATGTGATTTTTTATGTTGTATATTGCCAATTCTCCTTTGAAAAAACTTTGATAATGTTGTGTTACATTATTAACAATGATCTTAAAACATTGGACTTTGCTACAGTGACATGCATGTCACGGTGACATGCACTTTTCGGTCGACCTCATATAGGATCAGGTCGACCTAATCAGTTGTTTCAGTGTACAAACAGTTTCATGGTGCCTACTTTGGAGATTCATATCTTACAATTGGCTAGATGGAAATTGGAGATTAAAGGCTTGTTTTGAAGCTGAAGTGTCCCTCTACACATTAAAGTACTTGGGAGCTCAATAGAAAGTCCAGAAGACCATTTTTGAACCTGACCAAAAGGCTATGCCAAAACTGGGAAACTGCCTGAAAATGGCTAAGTCTGGCAACGTGTTTGTCAAGCCTACTTTGGAGCTCAATTTGACAAGCATGGATGCGAGTCCAGTCCAGGGGACTTTACCACGTTAAATTATGTATTTTTTTATACAAAGGCAAGGCATTGAATGAAAGATTGAATATCTTTAAAGCTTCAAACAAAAGGCTCGAAGTTGCTACGAAGGCTGTTTTTCTGGCAGCTTGCTTGTGCTCGAAGTCTGCTAGAAAAATAGCCTTCGTAGCAACTTCGACCCTTTTGTTTGAAGCCTTAAAGATATCCAATCTTTCATCCAATTCCTTGAATTTGTATCAAAACATACCTAATTTAACGTGGTAGAGGCTCCTGGACTCGACTCGCATTCATGCTTCTCTAATTGAGCTCAAAAATAGGCTTCACAAACACGTTTCCAGACTTAGCCATTTCTAGGCAGTTTCCCAGTTTTGGCATAGCCTTTTGATGAGGTTCAAAAATGGTCTTTTGGACTTCCTATCGAGCTCTCAATCACTTCAATATGTAGAGGGACACTCCAGCTTCAAAACAAGTCATTAGTCTTCAATTTCCATCTAGCCAATTGTATGATATGAATATCCAAAGTAGGCACCATGAACTGTTTTTACACTGAAACAACATATTAGGTCGACCGGATCCTATATGAGGTCGACCGAATCCTAAATGAGGTCGACCGGATCCTATATGAGGTCGACCGAATTCTATATGAGGTCGACCTAATCCTAACTGAGGTCGACCGGAAAGTGCAAGTCACCGTGACATGCATGTCACCGTAGGCACACCCTAAAACATTAACCATTCAATTGTTGGTCATTGTTGACGAGATATTATATTTCTTTGAAATATGTTAAGATATCGTTAGTAATAATTTCGTAAAAAAAAATTAGGAAACGCTAATATTTTCCTTTTTGTATATCGTTCGTAATAGATAGCATAAAAGTTGTAACCTTTAGATTTTTAACCACGAACTTAAAATTTGTGATTAATTAATTGCTAGTAATATGTTGCAGTGTTATTAATGTTTTGATAATATTAACAAAACATTAATAATAATTTGTTATATCGTTGATGATACGACTCATAACAGTTAAGAACATTACAGAATATTTTAATCCATGAACCTAGTGGTAATATCACTAGCCATGAACCTAGAGGTCCCAGATTCGAGTCCATTCAGTAGTACCTAATAATACAAAAAGTAACCTATATCACCCTTATCTAAAAAAAACAATGGGTGAAACCATTAATAATTCAATTAATTGTACCTTAAAAAATTACTAGTAACGGTTTACTTTGGAACATTTACATAAAAAATGCTTACATATCGTTAAATGTCCAAATTTTTTTAGCAACTGTTAATAATGATGGTTTTATATTGTTAGTGATACCTCGCATAAACATTGATAACGCGCCTAAAAAATATTAACAATTGTCCAAAGATTATCCAACATCAGTAACGATTTACTTCGAGCCTTTTGTTTGAAGCCTTCCAGATATCCAATATTTCATCCAATGTCTTGACTTTGTAGACAAACATACCTACTTTCATGTGGTAGAGGCACCTGGACTCGAATCTCATCCAGGCTTCTCGGATTGAGCTCCAAAGTAGACTTCACAAACACTTTCCCA